CCGGGGGAGGGCGGGGTGTGTGATTGACATGGCGTCGGGGGGCGGGGACTGTGGAAGTTGGGGAGGGGTCTGGAAGAGGGGGGCGTGAGAGCGTTCTGACCTGTGTGTGGTGTGTGTAAGGGACATGTGTGTGCAAGGTGTGGTTTGGGTGTATGTATGACGTGTCAGTGGATGGTGTGTGGTTGTGTGATGCACGCACGTGTGGATGGTGTGCCATTGTGTGTGATGTGGGGAGGGGGGCATATGTTGTGTGAGACGTGTGTGATGTGGGGGTGTGGATGGTGTGCGCTTGTGTCTGTGTGTGCATGATGAGTGGATGTGCATGATGTGTGGTTGTGTGGTGTGTGTGTGTGCCTGTGCCCGTATGGTTTGTAGATGTGTGTGTGGTCTGGTTGTGTCTGGAAGTGTGTGTATGTGTCTGTATGGTGCATGTCATGTGGTTGTGTGTATGCTGCATGGGGTTTGGTTCTGTCTGTGTGGATGTGTGTGGTGTAGTTTGTACTGGTGTAGTGTGTTTGTGTGCCCGTGCCCACTGTTGGAAACACCTCTGATAATTTGTGGAAGCACTAAAAGCTGCTCAGTCGCATTTTGTTTTATGGTTTCCACATCACAAAATCTTCTTCCTTTCAAAGTTTTGTTTTGTTGAGGGAAGAAAGAAAAGTTGCATGGGGCCATATCAGGTCAATATGGAGGCTGCAGCACTTGTGGGATACAGTGTTTGGCTAAAAACTGCTTCACAAGCTGTGCTGAGTGGGCATGCGCATTGTCGTGGTGAAGCATCCACTTTTCTGGTAGTTTTTCTGGTTGTTTCATTCCCAGATCACCAATTAGAATTGAATGACATGAACCAACAGACATTCCAGCTTCTTCTGCTAGCTCTCGGACAGTCAATCACCCATCATTTTGAACTAAACTGCAAACCACTGCCCCATTTTCATCATTTTGTGATGTTGAAGGGAATCCGGAACACTCATCACTTTCGACCGATGATCGTCTTTCTTTAAACCAATGATACCATTCAAAAACTCTTGCACAG